AAAGGCTTTCCATAACATACTTTGGAAAGATAAAAGAATTTTTACAAGATTATCTCATGTACGCATCCATAGCTTAATGTTTTCATGATTTAAGCGTTGGAGAAAAGATGTTTCTCAAATTACCAGGAAAACTAGTCCAAAAGATCCGAGAATCTTGGAAAAATGATGAGGTTACTCCCATGTTGAATAATCTCTCTATATGTATACAACACATCATGAAAGTGATGAAAGATAGTGTACACATATTGCTATACAAAAGCAATTAAAAAATTATGATGCTGGAATTTGCAAACAAATATATACTCCTCAACAATATAATCAAAACAAACCTTACAGAAGGTATGTACCTAGGAGTAAACCTAGGTATAATAAAAATTACAATCAAAATTCTTATTCTACAAAACAAAAACCCGCTATTTCAAGAAAGACCTATACGATTAGGTCTTCAAATTCTAGAAAACCAACTCTAAATCTTGATAGACACGTTAGGAAATTTAGAGAAAACAAAATATATAAGCAGACATTAAATGTTTTGCTTGTAACCAACTAGGACATTTCTCAAGAGATTGTCCTAACATTGCAAATCTTTACACAAAAGAGGCAGAACTCATAAAATCCTGCCACATGAACCTTCTTCCCATTGATGAAGATGTTTCTACAGATTTTGAAATACTATCAGTGATTAGTATAACATAATACACTGATGAAATCAATTTAGACAAAAGCCACAAAGATTATGGGCTAATAAATGATTTCACAAATAATAAATTCATACACCTTTATCCACAGGAAAATGATTTCAATTGGATAATAAATACAATGAATTAGGAAATATATTAGATGGTTTTGGATATTATCTAATGAATACAATAGTTTCTTCTTGTGATAAGGAAACTAACAAAAGGGTATTGCAGAATTCTATCAGTTACACAAGTACAAATATGGCAATCCCCATCAACAAAGGCAAGTCACCAGCCTCAGCAACTGAAGAGTTTGATACTCTAAAGTTTGGTACACAACATCTTCTGGTTTTACTAGAAGGTCATCCTCAATAATTGAAATGTTTGAGGAACTTTTCCGTTTCAAGGGAACAAAAGGTTCTACTTGATGTTCTTCATCGAGTTAGTAGTCCAACAACAAAGTTTAATGCTATCAATGCATTAAATTATTACTTTGCGAAAATATTGCCCGCTTCTTTTAACAAACCCAAGAATGAGGCCTACTGCCTTTTTACTGGTGACAAGTGTGGTGTCTACCTATCATACCCTTCTCTTTTGAAGGCTATAGGTAATTGAAAGTGATGAAGATCTTATTGAAATACATTGGCAAAGATCTCATTGATTTGATGAAGTCAAAGATGAAGTCAAAAGTCAACTTTGCAGTGGTCAACAAGTCACTTTGATAAAAGAGTAGAAAGATTAGTGTGTCTACAAAATGCTTAGGTAAAATCATTTTATCTTTTCTGCTACATGAAGGTTCTTCACTTAAAGATTTTGCGAAAATGCCTCTAAAATCGTTTTAAACAACTAAAAACAAAGTATTTTTACAAAAGCTTTCTCAAACATGTTTTTAACTGATATAGTTTTGAAAGAACCAATTAAAATCATTTAGAATGTTCAAAGAAGTGTTTTTACAATATTTTAATCGATACAACTTGATTTTAATCGATTAAAACCATTTAGAACTCATTATGATCGGTCAGAATACAAATATGACCGATCAGAATCAGATGTGATCGATCAGATTTGAATTATGAGCGATCAGAACTTTTTCAATCGATTAAAACATGTTTCAATCGATTAAAATCACTTAAAGGTTCAGGATGATCGATCAGAATGCAATTATGACCGATCAGAATCAGTTATGATCGATCAGAATTGAGTTATGACCGATCAGAACTCTTTCAATCGATTAAAACACGTTTTAACCGATTAAAACAACTTGGAAAAATTATGTACAGAGTTTTAATCGATTAAAACCTATTTTTATCAGTTAAAATAACTTGAAAAGTTTTATAAGAAAGTTTTGCAGTATTTCAATCGATTGAATCGCGAAACAATCGATTAAATAAACTTAGAAGATTTTTTGTAAAGTGTTTTAACTGATATAAACGTTGTCGTATCAGTTAAAACAAATTTGTTAAAGAATTAAGAACGTATTAATGGATTAAAAGAAGTTTTAACGGATTAAAACGGCTCTTTTAACAGATTAAACAAATATTTTAACTGATTAATTAATGCAACAATTTTGAAAATATTCTATAAAATCAGAGTTGCTTGGAACTTTTTAGAAATCAGTTTTTACACATCCTTAAGCAATCAATCAAGCAAACTTTAGCATTCTTTTCAAGAAAGATTCGCGTTAGTTTTTGAGAAGTTCTTTAAAAATCTTTCTTAAGGCATATTGCTTTTCTTTAAAGAAGAAACTCACTGCAGAATAGCATAAACTGGTTTGAGCTTTCTAGTTTCTTCTTTTTCAATTCTTTTTCATTCTTTTTGTATTGTTTGGTGCCTGGAATTTGGGCACTGGTTTCTCTGCAACTGGAATTTGGTTGTAAAGGTTGTCAAGAACTCGGAATTTGGTTCTTGGTGAAAGGTTAGGTGTTGGTGCCTGGAATTTGGGCACTTGGTTTCTCTCAGTTGGAATTTGGTTGTAGAGGTTATCAAGAGCTGGAATTTGGTTCTTGGTGAGAGGTTGAGTGCGAGAGCTGGAATTTGGTTCTTGTGATAGATTAGGTGTAAGATTGTTGAATCTGTAAAACATTTAATCTAGTGGAACCCAGTTGGAATTTGGCTGGAGACTGGACGTAGCCCTGGTATTGGGTGAACCAGTATAAAATACCGGTGATATCTTTCTTAACCTTTCTCTCCTTTAAATTCAGTTGTTGCGTTTATTTTGATTGATTGCTTTGTGATTCAAGAACAGATCTTTAAACTTAATTTTCGAATTAGATAATCTGTTATTTGCAAAAAACTTTCAAAGATCAATTCACCCCCCCCTCTTGATCTAAAACTACTTTTCTAACAGTAATGACAAACATAGCAAATTTCAAAGATTTTGTAACCTTGAAGAAGCTATACAGACAATAGTCAACTATGTTGGAGGTGATAATAACATACTGGACCATCCAGAAGTTGGAAATTTCATTTTTGAAAAACCAACAAAACAAGAGAATTTTTCAATTTATGATTTCATTAAACTCATACAACATTTGACTTTTGCCAGAAAAATGGAACAAAAATTGAAAACCTCTCTTTTTCAACAGAAAAAGGATTTTCAAAAACATATTTCCTGTTTAGAAAAAGAAAATAAAAAATAAAAAACCAAAATCTTAGATCTTCATAAAAAGATGAACTATGATTTCGGAACCATGGATTATGGAAACTTCACAAAACATATGGCCTATATTGGGTCATTCAAAAGAAATTTTTTGGGCCATCTACCCAGCCCAATCAAAGAACAAAATTTACCAACATGTTTCATATGCCTTGTTAGTAGAACTTGAAGCACTCCATAACTAGTTATTTCAATTACCAATAGATTCTGCACTCCGAAAGCACTTGAGGATAGTCCAATATCAAGATAATTTGGCTCCCTCGTCTTCCGATCAATACAACATCGAAATAAATCCTTATTTGGTGGAATGTAATCTTGCTTGGATTAACAAAAGATTAACTGAAGATTTATTTTTTGTAGGGTTCATGAAAAAGATGATTATTTTCAAAGACGCAATGATAGAACCATTTTTCGGTACACAGATTAATTACATGGGAATAAAAACATTAAGAAAAGAAAACCAATAAAAAAATATTCAAGCACTCAATGTATTAAAGAATATTTATGTTTTATTTTCATGTTGAGATTGTAGGAAACTATACATGACATAGTTAATATTTATTATAAATTAGAAATATATATAGAAAATATTTATTATAACTAGTTGATTAATTACAAAATTTACGACTTAATATAAAACGTGACCTTATATTATTTTCTAAATAATATTTTTTTTAAATGTTAAAGTTATTATTTCTACGTAGACATATTATTCAACAGTTTGTATAGTGTTATTTATTTTCAATAATATATAAGTGATGTAAATATAAGTTTTACATATCAAGAATGTTAACATATCATATATTGAATATTTTTTTATATAAATAAAGAAAGTTTTGATGTAATTTATATTAATAATGTCTTTATTTTTTTCACTTAAATAATGTTATAATTTAAAAAAAATTATTTTCATAGTTGTTTATTTGAAATTGGGTTGATTTTATACTTCACTTCTATTTATAACATTTTACAATGTTTTTTCTTCAATAGTTATTTTTATAAAATTTTAAAATATATTGGTTAATATATATATATATATATATATATATATATATATATATATAATATTTAAAGTTCAGTGAAAGTTCTGTTGTGCTTTGCTTCTATAAAAAAAAAATTAAATAGTGTATATTACTTGTAAAATTATTTTAAAACTTTGATTATTATAGATTATGAAGAATAATAGTTGATAGAGTCTTTTCAAATTTATATATAAAATCAATTTAAAATTATGATTTTTTATTATTATAAATTCATAATTTGATTATATATTTTTTCTTCTAAATATCTATAGTTAAAGTTAGATTTAATTATAAAAACTAAGATAAATATTAATTTTTTTAATAAATGTATTAATTTTTATTATTTTAATATTTATTTCATCTAAAATTATTTATAATAATTTATTTTTTATATTTTATAATAAATATAATTAAAAATAAAAATAATAAAATATTAATATAATCTTATTACTCATCTTTTTTTTTAATATCGTTATGTACCTTTTAAATCTAATTTTAATTTTGATTACGAAGAATAAACCCACAAAGCCCGAACCCTAAGCCCAACTACCATGTTTAGAAAAACAAAATACAGAGCCTGTTGTCACCGTGTACTGAGAGAAGAGAGGAGAGAGAAGAGAGAAGTGACGGAGAATAAGAAAAATGGAAGAACCCCAACTCTTACAAGACCCAAACTTCCCTCTCTTCAAAACCACTCGTAAAACTCCTTCATTGGTCGCTACCACTGTCGCAACTATAGACACAACCACCGCTGTAAACCCTAGCACTGCCGCCGACCGCCATGAATACCTTGACGAAACCGCCACAGACGGTGAGACGTTCGGCGATCTAGGCCTAGCGGAATGGGCGGTGAAGACATGCTGGGAGCTCGGAATGCAGAAACCGCGGCGGGTACAGCAGGTATGCATTCCGCGCGTGCTGGAGGGCCGGCACGTGCTTGGCATCGACGAAACTGGGAGCGGAAAGACTGCGGCCTTCGCTCTCCCGGTCCTGCACCGCCTCGCCGAACATCCCTTCGGCGTGTTCGCACTCGTCGTGACGCCAACGCGCGAGCTCGCCTTCCAACTCGCGGAGCAGTTCCGTGCCCTGGGCTCAGCCGTTCAGCTCCGCATCACGGTGGTGGTTGGCGGCATGGACATGCTCAAGCAGGCGAAGGATTTGGTTGCGAGGCCACATATCGTCATTGCCACGCCTGGGAGAATCCATGTCTTGCTCCGCGACAATCCTGATATTTCTCCTGTTTTCTCCAAAACCAAGGTAATGCGAGTATAATTGGATTAGGGTTGGGTTTGAATAACAGTTTAAAAAGTAAAGCCGAAAAATAAAATTAATCTCTTTTGGTTTTTAGTTGTTCATTTTAAACTTAGTTTTTTCAATGTAATTTCATTTCAATTGCATAAATTTGTTAATGAAATATCTTTTGCTTCTGGAGTAAAAGTATTATTAACTAAGTTCTTATTGAATAAATAATCGATTTACTAAGCTCTTTTATTGAATAAGTAGTTATTGATAAGCATTTGGAAAAAGTTGCTTCATAGTCGAGGAAGAAGAGTGTTTTCTTGGAAGTGGTGAGCTGTTTTCAAAATTTCTTAGAGAATTTTGAATTTATTGATTTATGTTGCAAATAACTTAATATATTATAAGTTCTTCCAAACAATTGTTTACCTGAGAAGCAAGGACTAATAGTGATAAGAAAATGGCTTCACAATCCAAAGTGACTAAAAAATGAAGCAACTATCTTACTATTGTGATCTATATTGTCTTTGGATAAAAACTCCTCCAAACTAAAATCATTGAAAGAAAAACAACAAAAAAACTATCCATTGGTTAGAATCGCTTTTGCATATATTAGTACTCAAAATTGAAAGTGATATGCTTCATCATATTGCTTTGTGTTCGTAATCCTAATTAATATTTGATCTATGCTTCTGCAGTTTCTTGTCTTGGATGAAGCAGATCGAGTTTTGGATGTTTGTTTTCAGGAGGAATTGAAATTTATCTTTCAATGCTTACCTGAAAATCGACAAAACCTGTTCTTTTCTGCAACAACTACAAGTAATCTGCAAAAGTTGCGGGAACGTTACAAAGAAAAAATGTATGTCTATGAGGCATATGAAGGCTATAAAACAGTTGAATCACTTAAGCAACAGGTTATATTCATCCCTAAAAAGGTGAAGGATGTTTATTTGATGCATATTTTGTCTAAAATGGAAGATATGGGAATTCGGTCTGCCATTGTGTTTATCTCAACATGCAGGTATCTTTCTGGATGGCATGTTTAAACTTTTTGTTACCAATTTTTTTGTCTGTATTAAAGTTATTCATTTTTTTTTCTAGGTTCATAACTATATCATTTTGTGGTGTCATAGGATAATGTTGTCTCTTGCAATTCAGCTTAATATATTAGATAACACTGCCTACTAATTTATTTGTTTGATACTCTAGTTTGCATTAGCTGATTTCTGTGTTCACAATTATTATGTAAATATCCAATATCCAACTTTTACCTTTTACTACTTTTCTTCAATAAATGATTAGGCTGTTATTTTTTTGTTTTAACTTCTCCCTCTCCACCTGCAGTGAAGGAAAAAGGGTAAAAATTCTCATTTTATTATTGGTATGTTGAAATTTAACTGTATTAGTTATTGAACTTTTTTTCTTCTGTGGACAATTTATAATGGAGTTTATAAGCTTCCTATATCTGATTCTGTAGGATCATAAAAGTCAAAACTGCTTGTTGTGGACCCTAGTGTAATTGTGTCTTGTGCAATGGCCTTTGTGCATGCTTTTAGTTTCATTTTGTATTTTAAAACCCACACCAACTGATGTTTAGCACGACTTTGTTGACAATCCAATGCTATTATCATTTTGACAGGACTGTGAAAATATGAGTTCATTGATTTTGTTGGCTATTCTGCTTTCTTTAGAAAGGTTATTTTGAATTCTGATGCCCCAAGTCCAGGAATGACTGCAATTGATTACTTTGATCTTTTATTCTTGTTGAAATAATAAGAGAGTATTAGATAGTGAAGGAGGTCAAAAAACTTATAGACACAGGACAATAGGTTATTGAATTTATATAGTGTATCCTGATGTGACGTCATAAAACAAGCTAAAGAACTTGTACTTTTCATACTTCGACTTAGATTATGTACTGAACTTCTAATCCTAATCAAAAGGGTGAGTTAATTTGCTATAGTTGGCTAAATAAAATCACTTTGAATAAGGATCTTAAATGATAAAATTCCTAAAATCGAGGTAGCACAATAATCTGTAAAATAACATAAATTCTCCTACCCTGTTATTGTCATTCTCTTCTAAATATTTTGTAGATGTTCCTAAAAGTTTTTAAATTGCAGAGATTGTCATCGTTTAAGTTTAATGCTGGAAGTACTGGATCAAGAAGCCGCCGCTCTGTATTCATTCAAATCACAAACTCAGAGGCTTGAAGCACTTCATCAATTTAAATCAGGAAAAGTTTCTGTACTGCTAGCAACTGATATTGCCAGCCGTGGATTAGATATTCCTACAGTTGACCTTGTTATCAATTATGATGTTCCAAGGTTACCTTTTCTTGTAGCCATTTCTTTATTTTCTTAATTGACATTTGGAGCACTTCATTAAGCATATTGCAACTGTTCATCTGCAGGTTTCCACGGGATTATATTCATCGGGTAGGTCGTACAGCAAGAGCAGGTAGAGAGGGACTGGCTTTGACCGTTGTTACCCAGGTTAGGACATTTTATATTAATTAATATGAACGCCTCTATAGTTCTTTGTGTTTTGAATCTAAGGTTACCTGCACTGAATTTGTACCTAAGAATTTTGTTTGAAAGTAATTGTTAAATAAATTTGTGAGGGCTATTGCTTAATAGACAGGATCTAGAACTCCGCAATTAAGTGTTGTTGTTTGTGGTGCCGGCCAACTTAGTTGAGATGACTAACAATATAGTGATGTTTTAGCACCTTCATTTTTATTATAGAGAAACTGTATATCTAAGTGCCGAAGTGGCAGCTAAGCTCATATAGTTCTGTACTTGAGCCAAACAACTTGTTACTTCTCGATAACAACCTACAATTAGCACATGTCATCCTTAATGAGTGATCCGTGGATATGAGGGCATAACAACCTTTCCCCTTTGCCCAAGCTTGAGACCGTCAATGAGACCATAGACATAGTTATATAATTCAACCATTAAATTGATAAATTTTTGCATCTGTGAAAGTTATTAAAGGTGTCATTTCACTACATTTGACACCTCTTGTCAAATGATCCGGTCAATAAAGAGATGATGCTAACAATGACCATTACCGTCTAAATTTAGCTTACAGGGAGTATGAACCTACCCAACCAAACTATTGTTGCCTGCATGTCTATTATAAGGTGGTGTCTTCGATATCTTTATGTATAATCATTCTTAACGACTAATATGTATGACAGTTTTTGTCTGGCAACAGAATATAAATAAATCCATTCTATTGGGTGGAATTATCATTGAAACAGAAAATGTTCCTTTCTCTCTTCTAGCAGACTCTTATCAGGACGCATGTCATAATTACGTTCAGTTGGGACTCCATATTGTTAAGGTTTTGGATAAGGTTAGAATTGCCGAAGTTTGATACTTTGGTATGAAAATATTGATAGAAATCACCACTTGTACTAGTAGGATTAGGGTGTTACCTCAGTGGTTTTGCGGTTTTACAGGAAGTGTCTAAGGTTATTTCGATTGTGACTTGTTTTCATATATTAAATGAGATCATTTGAGGATTCTGATATTTTTATTTCATTGGTTTCCTTCTTGTGTTTGTGTTTAAATTTGGTATTTGCAGAACGATGTTGAGCTTATTCATGAAATAGAAGCGCTTATTGAGAAGCAACTTGAAATGATTGAATACAAAGAAAGTGAGGCGCTTTCTCTCATGAAGAAGGTATGATTTTGCTTGGCAACTTTTTGTTCTAGCTATTGAAGTATATATTTAATTTAATTTAATTTATTGCCTTTTCTGGGTCTAAATGATTTTCACTTTTTTAAATAATAAGCTATATAAAGCTTTTCTTTTTAATTTTTAACCGATTTATTGGCTCTGGTGTATTACAGGTTTTTAGTGCTAAGAATGTAGCAGAAATGAAAATGATAGATGATGGCTTTGAGGAGAAAGCTAAAGAGCGAAAAAAACAGAAACTGAAAATGCTTGCCGAGAAAGGATTGTTGAAGAAAAATAAAAAGAGAAAACTAAGTAAAGAATTTTCGGAGAAAGGGAAAGAACAAAAGAAAGAGGTAGCACGAGAGAGAGGTTTATTGAAGAAAAAAAAGTTGAAAGAAAGAAGTAAAGAATTTGCAGAGGAAGTAGAGGTATCAACTCCAAAGAAAAGGAGTAAGAAGAGACGGTAAAATTTAAGAAAACAATAATTTCTGGTATATAAGGGATATTTGAAGAGAAGGCTAAATAGAGGTTGAAATCAAAAGCCGAAAGAGAAGAGAGCTATCAATGAAGTTAAAGTGGACATGGCGAAGGACTTGTTGTGTTCATGTCTTCAAGGATGGCAGATTTTAATTGATGTGAGATTGAACACATTGCCATAAAAATGGAGACAAATGTTTTGGGTTTTGATTCATTAAACTCCAGGCATTATTTTTCCTTGGAAACATTCGATTGATTGAGGCGAAAACAAGACCATAACAACTGGCTTTGAACCTGATGTAACAAATTCTAGGATAAATTAGTATATATAATATTGCTTATTATTATTGTTCAAATCATCCTAATATTAAATGTATTGACGTTTTTTTTTCTTTCTTTCTTTGAATAAGTCAAACTTACATGAAACTAATGAGTTATTTACGTTTAAGAAAGTCAAACAAGAAAATCTGCCTTGTATAAGTATAGTATGTTAAAAACAATTTTTTTGTCTTATTTAATTCGTGATAACATTTTTTGTTTTTAGTCCTATATAAAGGAAGACCCAAAATTATAATTATAAGATGAGTATACGAATAGAAAGAAAACAAAACATTAAAAAAAAAGCTTAAGATATATTCAAACACAGTGTGAAGTTATATTCTTTGTTTATCAAAATTATTAAATTTTGTGTTATATTGTATATTTTCGTTTGTTAATTAGTTAGTATAAGATTAAAATAATAGTATTCTTCAAAACTAAATCACTTTAAATTATAAACAATAAGATATTATGAGTAACATAAAGAATATTTATTATAAATCAGGAATGATGTCAATAATACTTATAATAATCAGTTTATTAGTTAAAATTTTCTATGTCAAAAGAAACTGAATATAATTCAAGTTGAATTAATTAATATAAAACAAATTATTTATTTGTTTATTTTCTTCCTCCAATTTTTAAGAAAATCTGCGTAGAGCATTTGTAAACTTATATTTTTGAAAAATATTTTGAAAATTTATTAAAGTTTTTTTTTTCTACGTTAACATAGTGTTCAAACATCTTATGGTATATAAATTTTGTATAACCTATAATAAGTATATATTTATTAAAAGTTGATATTATTATGAAAATAATTATACAAAGCATTGATATTAATTATTTTTGGACTCAATAGGAATAAAAGTTGGTCTTATGTATTTCGTTGCAATGAAAAAAAATCAAAATTAGGTAACTTTTTTATAGAAAATATATGGAAGTTGTTGGTTTTTAATTTAATTTTTATTTTATTTGAATTTAAGATTTTGGACGTGTCACAACCCATACATTTAAAAAAAAATTAATAAAGATGTATATCTAGGTTAACTTAATGGAAATATTTTCTATCATTCTTATAAAAAAATTATTAATTTGGAGAAAAAACTTTTAGAACTACAAATTGTCTCTATGCATCTTGGGTCACAAAAAATAAAAAAATGTCACATCCAATTAATATAATATGTAACTTCAAGTGTTATTTACTTAATACAATTGCTTAAAACTTGTGAATTTTAATTTAGATAAATATTTCACACTATAAAAAATTAAAATTTTGAAGGATCAAAATTCATCATAAAATTCTTCGTAAGATTATCTTGTGAGGAACTATGTGATTGAGACTATAAAAAATTAAATTTTTGAAAGATCGAAATTCATCATAAAATTATACAAAATTTTTCATAAGATTATCTTGTGAGGAATTATATAATAGAGACCCAAATTGTTACAAAACCTTGTATCATAAAATTGATTTTGTGATGACATTTTTAGTACCGTCATAAATTGTGACAAAATATACACAATCACAAATTTATTCAACATTGTCACAAAATCCAACATGTTTATTGTTGTTTGAGTGATAATACATCTACTTTAAGCAACTAACACTTAAGCGTTTATTCAAGCGAGCCTTACATACGATAGATTTGTTCTTTGATTAAAACATCTTTAATATTGTTTAAGCGATATATGCTTAAGCATACCTCATTTAAACCATTTGTATTTCATTTAAGTGAATGTTGCTTCAACAAAGGGAAAGTGACTTAAGTAAGCTTCTTTCCGTCATAATAATAATTGTCTAAAGGATAATAGCTTTAACCCAATATTTTCACATTGAAGTCACGATTACTTCTACGAAATATAAGTAACTTAAATAAGAATGATGATTAAAAACAATCGTGCAGTCCTACATATAATAATAATTAAAAAGAAAATTTAATTTTATTTGTATACAGAGCAAAATCAGAAATAAAAAAATAGTAAATAATTAACTTTATAATAAAAAAATACTTTCAAAATATAAACCAATATTTTCTTTTCTAACTGAAAAGTTGTTATAATTTATAATACTCAAAGATTTGCTGATTTGCAAACTTACCGATCTTTAAAATTATTTGTCTCAGAATAATTACAAGTTTATTATATACCTTGATTTGCATTTATAAAATTGCATATTTTATTAAAAACAGTAAATAATATTTTCATTTATAAATTATCATTCTCAATTAATTGATGATTTTATTGTTATCTAGACTATTGACTTACACTTATGATAACATATGTCAATATATTATTATCACGAAAAGTATCATTTAATTAAATTTTTAAGTATTATCCAAAATCATCACTTGTTTTTTTCTTAGAACAAATTGATAGGTAGTCAGTACTCCCTATTTTGTGTAATACCAATAACAGTAAAGTTTATATAAATGATCAATTTTTTTCACATAATACTTTCGTCTATTCTCTTTCTCTTTGAATTTATCCTTTTCTATTCCTCAAATCCATTCTTTAATTCAAGAGTTATACGAGTAATTGATATAGGGATTAGGGTTTTACCAAAAGATTGCACCTCACATGAAACACGTCACTTTAAATAAAGCATTATGACTTAAAAATAAAAAAATACAAAAAACAAAGTAACGCTAATTTTATTCACCTTTGTTAACGTTAAAAATGTTAGTTCTTACTAACTCTCATTAGTAGGTTAAATAAGTTGGTCTATTTAATTTATAAAAATATTAAAAATAAAAATAACGTTCACTGAAAAATTATTTTCATAAAAAATAATAAATAAAATATCTTTTTTTTCTTATTCTTCAATTTTTTAGTGATATGTTTATTTTATTTTTTATTTTTCAAAAAAATCTCAGAGATTAATTTTAAAAATTTGTTCTTGAACAAAATTAGAAAAAAATTTTCATACCTAATTTATCATAAAATAAAAAAATAATTTTAATAACTTTATAATAATGAAAATGAGTGATTATTAATGAACATATTGATAAAACTGCATAAATGTACAACTGCATGAAGAGAAGGTTAACACCTTTGTTATTATTTTACTTTGTTGTTTATCCTTTAGTCTATCTATTATAATATTACTCATAAAATGTAAAACACTTGATACATAAATGTTTAACTGTATTCTTTTATCTTTTATTTGTATTACAGTGTTTTTTTAGTATGCAATAACTTGTGCTTAGCCTTAAATTAAATTTATTACATATTGGTTTCCTCAAATCAAACTCACACACAATAGATCTCTTCTGGAATTGTATGTGATAATTAATGTTGTTTTTAACTTATAATTAATTTATATTAATTATTTTTGTAATAATTTTTTTTCTTAAATTCAGTTGTTTTTTTCTCAAATTTAAATAAAAACAGTTAGAATAATAAATATTATTAATAATATATCATCTTTATTTCTTTTAACTATTTTTTTATATTTTGATTATGTAAGATTAAATAAAGAAATCATACTACACTGTACTTGATACGTGAAGAATAGTGAATTGATGAAATAACATAATGATAATAATATGAATGTTATGTTTTATTATTTACTATATTTTATATAGATTAAAGTCATATCTTTATACAATTTTATAATTTATTTAATATAAATTGCAGGTTATTATACTATTTTTTTTTATTATGAATTCTTTCATTGACGGAGAGATTCTCTTTTATATGTGAGAGATAAGTTAAGTAATAAATTTTTATTAATTAGTTATATTATTATTATTATTATTATTTACTTGTATATTATTATTATTATTATTATTTAGTATACTATTTAATAGTTTTATTAATTTATTAACATTCATTATCCATCTTCATCTATGATCCGTAACTAACCATTTTAAATTAATTATCATTCTTCATTTATCAACTATATTCTCAATCATCTTTTAACCATTTGACAAAACTACCAAATCATCTAAATAATAAATTAGAAGGTTCACGTATTCTTTTTAGATTTGTATTTGTTAAAGTTAAAATTAACATGAAATCATTTTATAGTAAATATAAATAACGATTAAACTTAATAATATAAACTTCTTATGATAATTTAAAATATATTACAAATTTGATGGTTTTACGTTAAAAATAAAAAATTAATAATTATGATTAAGTGATAAGATACATTTTGAAAATAATTATAATAATAGTTATTGATTAAAAAATAGTAATAGTTATTTAAATTTTTCTTGAATGGAATATTTTATTCTTCTTAAATTCAGTTGTATTTTTTATATTTTAAAAAAATTCATCAAAAATCATTTAATTATTTAACTATTTTTATATTTTAATTATTTTTTTATTAAACATAGATACTAAGTTAAAACTAGTTATTATTATTATTATTATTATTATTATTATTATTATTATTATTATTATTATTATTATATATATATATATATATTAATTTTTTTAAAATAAATAAAATGTGCATATTAAACAATATGTATATATATCATGGTTACTTTCATATACATGTAAGATTAAAATTAAAAAAAAAGTTAGGAAATTACTTGAAAGAAAGATATGTGGTAGAGAGGTATTAATTATTTTAAAATGAATATTTATTTTCCTTGAAAATTTATTTTAAATTACAATGTCTCATATTTTAGTTTTCAATTATTTTACAACTTTATCTAAATTT